GACCCTCTCAAAACCGATCCTGTCAAAACCGATAACCTGCCAAAACCGATAAAAAATTAGTCTACCAAGTCCGTTCCTGTTATATAAATCTAATAGTTTGTTATGTTTTCAAATCCGATAATCTCTCAAAACTGAGACAAAACTTGTCCACCATGCATACCGATTCTGAGAAGGTCAACAGTATTTCATTGTTCCAAAAACACACTTTCTGCCTTATCACATTAAGTCACGCATGTTGGCATGTCTAAAGATTTGACGAAGCCTTTCTTCTACGGAGATGAAAAGGATGATATCGATGGATTTCTTTTTGATTATAGAAGATACGCTAAATCAAAAGGTTGGGACGAAGAAACAAAATGTGGAATGGTAGTCATATACATGCCCGACGAGACAAAGGCATGGGTTAGAGAATTAATAAGGGGTTGTAATAATAAATGGGACACATTAAAAAATGAAATATTGAAAGTAATCAATGCGGGAAGTGATAAGAAATTGAAAATAAATCGTCTCAAAAATATTAAACAAGGTGAAAAGGAGACATTACGAGGTTATACAAGCAGATTCGAAGCCTATGCAGATGCTGTAAAAAACAAGATAAGAGCGGATGAGAAACAAGATTGGTATTTGTATGGAATGCAGGAGAATTACAGATTAAAAGTAGAAAACTTTTGTCCAGATGACTTCACCAAAGCTAAGAGAACTGCGCTACAAATTGAGAGCTTTCAAAGGGATAGGGAACGGAATGACAGAAAAGGAGTATCCATAGTCGAAGAGAAGTCTCACTCAAGTGAAACAGATATCGACGGCATTACTGCCTCTCTCAAAGCTCTTACTATAAATCGGGTTAAACAGGAACCTAACAATGATAGTAAAATTGATAAGATTGAATCAGATATTAAAGAATTGATGAAAGTAGTTAAAGAACTTACTAGCAATAACTCATCTTCTGTTTTCACTCGTTCAAGAAATCTAAACTCTGTGCAAAACCCAAGGCCCCAAAGGAGTAACGTCGATAATCGTCAGTGTTTCAATTATCAACAGGAAGGGCATATTTCGCACAACTGTCCGAATAGAATACTTCAAAATCCACCTGTTGAACGAGGGAATGAACAGACAGATGCAAGAAATGAAGCTATTGAAGTAAGAGGCGCAAACATTCGATATTTTGAAGTAACATTGGGGTCAGATAATCCGGGAATTGAATGTTTGAAAGTTGAGATGATAAAAAGAGAGCCCATATTTAATGTAAGAAATTGGGACCTCAGAAAAAGAAAGCGTACTGATGAAGGTGAGGTAATCGGTAATGAAAATAGGAAGAAAAAAGAAAAAATTAATGAAATTGATAGTAATCTTGTTGAATCACGTGCTTTGAGCCCTGTAATGTACATACCGTTATCGGAGTTAAGTCAAGAGCTTGACATTTTAAGAAAAGTTGCTGAAATGGAAATAACTTTGACACTGGGACAACTATTTAAGTGGTCCCCAAAGGCCAGATCAGAAATTTTAAAGGCATTGACACGTAAAAGAAAAGAGAATGATGTTACAATGTTGGATACGAATGTGAGCATTGTTCGTACGATCCAGACAATAAGTATGAAACAAAATAGCGATATGCCTATAGGCGTAGTAACAATTAATGGAGAAAGAACTGATGCTCCGATCAACCCCGGATCACGATTAAATTTGATGCACGAGAGATATGCAAAAAGAAGAGGATTGGCATGGAGAGCAGTTAGTGAAAAAGGTAAGATGACCGATGATAGTGTTAGCAATTTTCTGGGATACATACCTAATATAGAAGTTGATGCCGAAGGAGTGAAAGTTATGCAAGGTTTCTATGTTATGTGCTCTGCTAGTTTTGACGTGCTGCTTGGAATGCCGTGGATTGCGGCAGCAAAATGTAATTTGAAGTGGAGAAACAATCAGTATTGGTGTTCGATTGCCTCCAGATATAAAGAAGTATCATTTGTTACCACTACTGTACCTGAAAGTTGGACAAACCCTTGGAATGATGAAGACGATGAATTTGAGAGTGATGACGAAAATGATGAAATGGATGTGCCATCGATGTGGAGGGTTCAAATAGACAAGCCCGAAATAGAAAAGATGGATGCCGAGTATAAAGAAATAATCAGCAAGGCTAATAATAGCAATCAATTAATGCTGCAAGAACTCATACCGATCGATGACGATCAACTTGAAGAGACTAAGCATCGTGGTCAGGTCATTTACTGGAGTGCTAATCAAGAAAATAAAAGGGTCATTAATGTTGGGGGTCCAGATTTAATTATGCGCCTTACGGTAGAAAATAGTAAGATGTTGGATATTAATCCTGAAATATCGATGAAAAATAGGAATTACTTAATAAATCAACTGATTCAGGTAGTTCCGGAAGTATTCGCTTTTGAACTTTCTGAAATAGAAAAGACGAATTTAATTGAGTACGAAGTACGAACCGGAGGAAAAGTAATACCAGAAACCCGAATGCGGCCAGTTCGTATCAATAATCCCGAAAGAGCTATGTTATTTGAAAATCAACTTCGAGAAATGGTAAAGTATGGGTTATTAGAAAAAGGGAAGGGACAATATGCGTATTACTGTTTTCCAGTGAATAAGAAAGAAGGTGGAACAGATCAGTTAAGGGTTGTAGGAGACATGAGGCCTTTAAACAAATATATAGTGAAAGATAGTTACCCTTTGCCAATGTTTCATGATGTTCTAGAAAAAGCGGTAGGGCATGATTGGTACTCCTCAGTTGATGTGTATAAAGGATATTGGCAAATCCAAATCCGAGAGGAGGATAGAGATAAAGTTGCCATTGCAACACCTATTGGATTAATGAGGTATACAGTTATGTGTATGGGTCTGAAGAACGTCAGTGAGACATTTCAACATCTAATGGATGTAGTTTTAGAAGAAGATGAATGGCGCAATATTACTGCAGCCTATCAGGATGATGTGGAATTATGGACAAATGGTTCAGTTAAAAATCATATTGATGCATTCATACAACTAGCGAATAAATTTAAGAAAGTTGGGTTAACTTTTGCAGCAAAGAAATGCCATTTGCTTTATAAGGAGTTGGGCATGTATGGGTTTGTCGTCAGTAAGTTAGGAATTAAGGTGGATCCTAAACGAATTAAAAGAATTACAGAATGGGCAACACCCACCTGTCTTACAGAAGTTCGGTCATTTCTGGGTATGATGAATTATTACCGTTGTTTTATTAAGGATTTTAGTAAAGTGGCAAAGCCACTAACTGACCTAACGAAACAAAATATCAGCTATCACTGGGAAAGTGAACAAGAGCAGTCATTTCAGGAATTAAAGAGACTGTTGGTAGATAATGTTCTGTTAAAGGCACCTAATTGGCAAAAAGCCAAAAGTGGAGAACGACCTTATCAAATGTATACGGATGCCTGTGATGTGTCTCTAGAGTAGTTCTGGAACAAAAAGAAAATAATGATCGATTATGACCAGTATCATTTGAATCGCGCAAGCTGAATGAACATGAAATTAATTACACTATAATGGAGAAAGAGTGCTTAGGTGTTGTTTTCGGTTGTAATATGAATGAACGGTATGTAGGAGGAACAACTTTTGATATATAGGTTGACCATCATGCATTAGAGTGGCTATTCAATAAGACAGTGTTAAAGGGACAACTTATGCGGTGGGTTTTGGCCCTACAAACTTTCGATTTTCACGTGCATTATAAGTCGGGTAAATCACATAGTAATGCAGATGGGATCTCAAGGTATCCGAACGCTCCGGTACAACAACACCCAACAGATGAGGAGTATGTAGAAAATCTATTAATAAGTGTGAGTGTGGAGGATCAGAAGTTAAATGATTTGAAAGCCATAGTACAATATTTAAAGACATTTTTGTGACCATCTTATATAACAAAGGAGGATTTGAGGCATCTGAACCCAAAGTTAAGGCATTATTGTCTTTTAGACAACTGATTATATCGCAGAGCTGTAAATAGCAAACCTCCAAGACATGTAATCTTCGATACAGAGGAAAAAAAAAAAATTGTGATGGCCAATCATGAGGGCACTGCTGGAGAAGGCGGACATCGAGGAATTAACAGTTGCATTAGAAAAATTTTGATGAACTATGAATGGGCATCAGGTAATTTGTATAAGGATATAAAGAACTATGTGATGTCATGTATCATTTGTCAAAAGTGCGAGTCCAAAGTTCCAAAAGAGCCTATCCACATTGCGGCTACCAGTTGGATTTTCCATAAATTGTTCATAGATTGTATAGGCCCAATGCAACGTACTAGTGGTGGTCATGAGCATATTGTAGTGGCGGTAGAAGATTTAACTGGATTTATTGAGGCTCGAGCACTTAGAAAGAAGAATGCAAAAAAATATCGCTCAATTTATCTGGGATGATGTTGTCACCCGACATGGTTGTTTTGCTGAATTGGTATCTGACAGAGGTACAGAATTCAAAAATAACTTAATGAATGAACTTACTACACAAATAGGCATTGATCAACAATTTGTAGCAAGTTATCATCCAGAGGCTAATGGTAGAGCGGAAAGAACTGTTCAAAAACTTATTAAGGTTTTGCATAAGGTGTGTGCAGAAAAACAGAACAGATGGCACGAGTATTTACGAGAGGTCGTGTGGTTTATAAATATAACAGTTGGAGAACTTGGATACTCGCCTTTCAGACTTGTATACGGGAAAGATGCGATTATACCAATTGAATTGACTATTGAAACGTATCAAACATTCATAATAAAAAAGTTATGAACCACTGAAGAGTTGTTGGAATTCAGAACCCTACAAATAAAAAATTTAAGTTATGAACTGAAGGAGGTACAGGTAAACCGTGATGAGCTAAGAGAATGGTGGAAGTATTTCCACGATCAACAATGTACTGTAAAAGAAAAGATCAATATTGATGATCTAGTTTTGGTATACGATTCAACATTAAATACTTCATTATCTCGAAAGCTTGACTATCGTTGGATCGGTCCTTATAAAGTGCGTAAAATTGGAAATCACAGGCAATTTTATCTTTCTGAGCTAGATAGAACAAATCTAAAAGATCTCATCACCCGAAATAGGGTTAAGAAGTTAAAAGAATCAAATAGAGAAACTCACGAATTGGTAGAAAATGAAGAAAAGGATAGTGACCTTGAGGACGAAAGTCACGGGGAATCTAGCTCATGTCATGGAGAAAATAAGTATGCAGTGTATTTGGTCAAAGGGATCGATCTGGATCTCTAGATTAATAGAAAGGAAATATAGTATGAACATATTAAAAAAAAAAAAAAAAAAAAAAAAAAAAATGTATATATATGTCTTTGAGTTGGGAAGGTTCGAAACGAACGATTCACGTGATACACATGATTGGCATAAGATCAATCAGAAGTTTAAGTATAGAATCGAAGATAGGATCAATTATGTAATAGTCGGTAGCACAGGATAGATTACCGAAGTAAGAATAAATTATGCATAAGAAATGAAGTAAAGTATGTGTAATCAATTTAAGAGTTAGAGATCATACAATAGTATGATCGAATTATGATGTAATTAAGTAGAGTCAAAAATATGGTATATAAAAAAAGCGAAATTAATAAAATTATGGAGGGGGGGACCTCTTTAATAAGAAATAAACAATCGAATCAAATAAAGAAATACTGACCCGTAGTACTAAAGTTGAACTTTTTTCTTGTGTATTGTTTACGTGCCCTATTTGAGCAAGATCTGTTTAGTGACTTCGGTTACTAATATAACTGCGATACTATCTTCTATAACAGAGATACCTCCTTAAAATTAACTAAGATTTCATTATTCAACCTATCCCAACACCAATTTATCTTCTATACTGATAGCTCTATTAAACAACTTGGTATCAACTAATGCTTAATAAGTATTGGCTAGATTTAAGTTTACCAAAACCAAGTTATTCAAAGTTTTTCTGCTCAAATCCTCAACTGGCCTTCTTTATACAAAGCAGAACTACTAGCAATAATTTTAGCCATCTCTATACTTCCTCTTAACTCAACTATAGAGATTTTTACTAACTTACAATCTGTTATTTCTAAATACAACAAACTTCAAGCTCTATTATCTCATTTACCAAAACAATTCAAATTCAATGCCTGGCCTATCTGGTACACACTTCTTAATATCCTCAAAGCCTACAATATTCAACTCTCCTTTTACAAAGTTCAAGCTTATTCTGACAACCTCTTTAATAATCTTGCAAACTTACTTGCAAATAACTACTCTACTTCACCAATCCTACACTTCAACTATATTAATCTTTACAACCCATTCTCTATCTTACAATAGAACAAAAACTTCATTAAAAGCCCTACTAAACAATTCATTAAATTAATTCAAAAAGCTCAAAGTATTGTCTTATGTCTTTACAACATCATGCTTATAAATAGTCTTATTTCTCTTACCTAATTAACTGGAAAGCCTCTTGGCTATATTTTAACAACAACTAAAAAGTATCACACAATCTCTCCAACCCTAAATTAAACTATCTCAAATCCTTTAAAATCAAAATGCTTTTTAATATTCTTCCAATACATGCATATTTTTACTCTATCTATTTTTATTTTTACATCTTTTTTATACAACTACCCTAACACCCCTCTTACTAGTACTCCTGCTCTGACAATATACTTTTAACCCAAACTATTAATACTTCAATCTATAATATTATCTCTAATGCTAATCTTAACTTTTTAACATACCAACTAAATAATCTAATATATACTATTGCCTCATATCCTTCTTTTGACTTCATCTCATTATAGCTATATCCCTATACTCTTGATTCTATACTTAAAGGTCTTATACTTATCACTCTAATTTAATCACTAGACTTTTTCAAAATTTCTTACTTCCAAGTCTCCCAACTTATTATCAAAATACTTCTAAAAATTTCAAATCAACTTTATAACAATATTTGGATTCACTACTGCTTTAATTTTTCTCACTAAAAAAAAGCTTATCAAATCCTATTACAAATCAACACTATATCTTAGTTCTTATTACTTTCTAGAAATTACAAAAACAGAATTATCTATATATATAGTTGCCTATATGGCTACACTGACTAGCTATATTTTGACTCTAATACATGTCTTACATTAAGACAAGCTTTTCTCAAATACAATATTTGGTCTACTATATAGATCAAATATAACACACTCTTTAATTATATTTTAACTATTCAAATCTAAATAAGTCTTGACCATCTAGTAGGTTTAGGTTGTGGATAAATTAGTCTGAGCTTTTATTTTTGTATGTAAATTATATTTATTTGTTTGTATACAAATTAAGTTTTTTAATCCCTAGTTGGGTTGCAGGTATGGCAGCTAGTGTGGAACCTCGTGCAGACTACTTAAATAGGCAACCAAAAGTTGCAGGTATGGCTAGTCGTACTCTCACTTGTAAAAAGTCAGAGAGCTT